TCATATTATGCAGATTGCTCTTCATATATTGTACATCACAGCTTCCACCAATGTGACATTACATTATGCAAGATTGCTCTTCATATATTGTATATCACAGCTTCCACCAATGTGACATTATAATATGCAGATTGCTCTTCATATATTGTATATCATAGCTTCCACCAATGTAACATTATATTATGCAAGATTGCTCTTCATATAATGTACATCACACCTTCCACCAATGTGTCATTATATTATGCAGATTGCTCTTCATATATTGTACATAACAGCTTTCACCAATGTGACATTATATTATGCAAGATTGCTTTATATATTGTACATCACAGCTCCCACCAATGTATCATTTATATTATGCAGATTGCTCTTCATATATTGTACATCACAGCTTTCACTAATGTGACATTATATTATGCAAGATTGCTCTTCATATATTGTACATCACAGCTCCCACTAATGTGTCATTATATTATGCAAGATTGCTCTTCATATATTGTACATCACAGCTCCCACCAATGTGACATTATATTATGCAAGATTGCTCTTCATATATTGTACATCACAGCTCCCACTAATGTGTCATTATATTATGCAAGATTGCTCTTCATATATTGTACATCACAGCTCCCACCAATGTGAAATTATATTCTGCAAGATTGCTCTTCATACATTGTACATAACAGCTTTCACCAATGTGACATTTTATTATGCAGATTGCTCTTCATATATTGTACATCACAGCTCCCACCAATGTGTCATTATATTATGCAGATTGCTCTTCATATATTGTATATCGCAGCTTCCACCAATGTGACATTATATTATGCAGATTGCTCTTCATATATTGTACATCACAGCTTCCACCAACGTGACATTATATTATGCAGATTGCTATTCATATATTGTATATCGCAGCTTCCACCAATGTGACATTATATTATGCAGATTGCTCTTCATATATTGTATATCACAGCTTCCACCAATGTGACAATATATTATGCAGATTGCTCTTCATATATTGTATATCACAGCTTCCACCAATGTGACATTATATTTTGCAAGATTGCTCTTCATATATTGTACATCACAGCTCTCATCAATGTGTCATTATATTATGCAGATTGCTCTTCATATTTTGTACATAACAGCTTCCACCAATGTGATATTATATTATGCAAGATTGCTCTTCCTATATTGTACATCCCAGCTTTTACCCAAGTAACATTTTACTTGGACGTTTAATTAATATATGTTCCATGATTTGTTTTAGACATGGTTGCTATACCGCAGTTCTTAGCTGGTGCTATGGAGAATTGGGGGTTGGTTTTGTACAGTGAAGTTGCTATGATTTATGATGAAGAGGTTAACACACCAAGCCGAAAGGAAGTCGTAGCAACTATAGTTTCACATGAACTCGGGCACATGGTGAGTTTCTATTATAGTGGCCAAATATATATCACTGTGTTATTCATAGCGCCCTTTCCAGCAAAAACTAATTTATTTATTATTTGATTGGGTAATTTTAGTGGTTTGGTAATCTTGTAACAATGGACTGGTGGAACCATATTTGGCTGAACGAAGGCTTTGCGACATTCAATGAATACGTCGGAGCTGATTTCGTGGAACCAACATGGCAAATGGTAACATCTTAATTCAATTTCATATTATTTCATAGCTACTCTGAAATGCCCGTTCGTGCCGGATTTGTACTGTGGTTATTCCCACTGACATTAGGACGTGTTCTAGCTTCTTTCTTACTTTGATTTAATACAGTGGGACCAATTCCTGATATCAGCAATGGACTCTGCTTTTACTGCTGATTCTCGGTCGACTACATCAAAACCGTTGATCAGAGAAGCAGGGTGGAATTTACTTGAAATGTTTGATACAATCACATACAGTAAGGTAAAGTTGACGCTGTTTTAATACGTACAACACTAATTAATACACTAATTAAGAATATGCCGATCGGGATTCCCATCTTTTACACAAAAACATAACAGTGCGTCTGGAAAATTATGTGTCACATTCTGTTTAATATAATAGGCAATATGACTTGGAATAGCATGGGTGAGAAAGTATAAAAACATAGAAGGATTTGGAAAACATGGTATGAGTTTCAAGAATAATGAGGTAGAACATGGACCAAATTGTATTAAGAGAACACCGAATGCAGTAGGGTAATAACGAGAAGAATTTGTGATGAAGTTGTAGAACATGAAATTAGGTAGAAGAACATAAAATGATTTCGAAAAAAACATGAAATTTAAAAAAAAAATAGAATGCGTTCGGATAACAAGGAATTAAGTGATAAAATAAGTAATGTAGTGGTAGAAAATTGACGTCTAATAGGAAAAAATGGAATGGAGTATGTTAGTGGTAAACGAATATGTAATAAAGTAAGAAAATATAGAATGGAGAAAGAGAACATGAAATAGGATAAAACGAAATAAACTCCATTGAAAGGAGTCAGGACGATATTCATTGAAGCGGAAAACATTAAATGGTGTACTAGAATATGGAATGAATTAAGGGAATATAGAATGACGTAAAGAGAATTCGGAATGCAGTTGTAAAACATAGATGTTTAATGTAATAGGAGTATGGGAATAAGTACAAACATAAGATATATATGACATGGAGTTGGAGAACGTGGAATGAAATAGATGAAGATAGAAATAATAGGAGAGTATGAAACAAAATAAGATAACATTGAATGAAATAACGTGATCGAGTGAGAGAATATCTTTTGTAGTAGGAAGTCATGAATATGTCAGGAGAGAGATGTAGGAGGTAAGACTGAAGTAACAGAAAGTATGTAGAAGACCATGGAATGAATTAGGATAAATTATAATTAAGTAGGCTATGAAGTATGGATTGTTTGGATATAACTAAGTTGGAACATGGAATGAAGTAGGTGCACATAAGAAGAAGTATGTGATCATGCAATGAAGTAGGTGATCATGGAATAAAGTGGTTGATTATGGAATAAAGTAGATGAACATGGAATGAAGTTGGTGAACATGGAATGAAGTAGCTGGTCATGGAATGAAGTAGGTGAACATAGAATGAAGAGGTGATCATATAATGAAGAGGTGATAAAGGAATGAAGAGGTGATCGAGGAATGAAGTAGGTGAACGAGAATGAAGTAGATGATCATGGAATGATCGTGGAATGAACTAGCTGATCGTGGAATGAAGTAGGTGGTCATGGAATGAAGTGGGTGATCATGGAGTGAAGTAGATAAACATGGAATGAAGTAGGTGATCATGGAGTGAAGTAGGTGATCGTGGAATGAAGTAGGTGATTATGGACTGAAGTAGGTGAACATGGAATGAAGTAGGTGAACATGGAATGAAGTAGGTGGTCATGGAATGAAGTGGGTGGTCATGGAATTGAGTAGGTGAACATGGAATGAAGTAGGTGAACATGGAATGAAGTAAGTGAACATGGAATGAAGTAGGTGGTCATGGAATGAAGTGGGTGATCATGGAATTGAGTAGGTGAACATGGAATGAAGTAGGTGAACATGGAATGAAGTAAGTGAACATGGAATGAAGTAGGTGGTCATGGAATGAAGTGGGTGATCATGGAATTGAGTAGGTGAACATGGAATGAAGTAGGTGATCATGGAATGAAATAGGTGATCATGGAATGAAGTGGGTGAACATGGAATGAAGTAAGATAACGTGAAATAGCGTAGGAGAATATGCAATTAATTACAGGCAAACGAACATTTCCATGACAGCATGCAACATGAGATTCAAACATGCTGACTACTCAACCATACTAACTGACCCAAATAGTATAGCTCTAAATAGCGTGTAGTGAACACGCAGAAATACACAATGAATATATACAACACAACAACTATACACTTATAAAGCCTAGTATTCACGATTTAATACGAACCACTCAGATTATGATTATTCGCGGGTACAAATAATGTCCACCACCAGAGACTGTCGGCTGAGTGAAGAACATGGAATGCATTATGAAAGCATGAAAAAATTAGACGAGCACGAAATGTAAAAGAACATGTAATTAGGTTGACACATTGGAACATGAATGAAAATGTAAAACAAAATGAAGCTGTAGAATGGGAAATAAAGTAAGAGGACAAAAAACGAAAAAAAAAATTAAATGAAGTTAGGGAATATGAAATGAACTAGGAGAAGGAGAGTGAATAGTGTCAAGTGAATAACACAGTGTATCTATATAACAACCTATGTATGATAGAATTATTTGCTGTATTGATTCTTGGTAGCATTGATTTTATACTGGCAAAGTCGGGACTTTTTTTTCATTTTACAAAAATAAATATAATTAATTGTCAATTTAGCCTTTTTAACGTGACTGCGAAAACTAGCCAGGCTTCGAAAGAAATCCCCACTGAAAACCGGAGCGGAATTACTTTGGTGATTATGCTAATTAAAAGATGTTGACTAGTATTGACAACGAATCAGAGTGCAGCTGTATACATCATCTCTTATCTATGTTAATGTTTGTGTCCTTTCACTTCTGAGGTCCCGGCGACTACTTATATACATTAGACATTTAAATCAACTTGTTTTTAGTAAACATGGATGAAAGTATCGCCTTCGCACTCAGAAAATTAAAGTATCCATCTATGCGATTTGATCGAATCAACCTTTAAAAGGTCACGTTTAGTTTTTCACACACCGACTTATGAATAATCAACGATATCATGAATAATTAATAGCAGTAAAATACCCACAGATTCGTCCAGTCGGGATTTCTTTAGCGGTCAGGTTAGTTTTCGTGATCACGCTAAAAGGGAATAAAAGAACAATTAATTATTTCTTTTTGTAAAACAAAAAAGAAGTCCCGACTTTGCCAGTCTACATTGATTTGGATGGACCCATCAACCATTAAAACGAGATATTAGCATAATATAATATCTTTCCTATCCCAGTTAACTGAACTTATTGATTTGAGATATTTTGAAAACGTCTCCTGTTACATATCACACCGGCGTTAGAATTATCTAATTCACCATTTTCATACCTATCTTTAAGGGTGGCAGCATCGTTCGTCAATTGGCATCTTTTCTAAGTGATGACGTTATATCAAGAGGCATTAACGACTACCTGACAATCCATTCATATAACAATGTAGTAACTGATGACTTATGGAATGCATTAACAGCGGTATGTTTACATAACAATAGAGATAACATTAATGATATTTAATTTATATATTTGCCCTTCATCAGTATTATATGTCGTTTTAGGCTGACCTTGGTCATAGGAACACTAATGTGAAGATGGTGATGGATACATGGACTCTACAAGCAGGTCACCCAGTTGTCACAGTAAATCGAACAGATGCAGACAATGCTGTAGCTACACAGCGATACTTTATGATGGATCCACATGATTTTTATGATGCGAAATACGACCACATGGGGTATTACACCACTAAATATGTATGACGAATATGGCACATATTTCTTATGATTCATTTGAATATCAACTTTAACATTGTTTGTCTTCTTCCTAGATACACATGGTATGTCCCGTTGACATTAACGCATGGAGGAAATCCTGATTTTGTGGATTTTTCCCTACAGTGGTTGAATGCTAACAGTACAGGTATGCTGTCCCATTATTATCAGTAGAAACAAGTCGGTTCACGTTAATGATCACGACATTATGTTTTGTCATGCACTTATTGCTGCTATGTGATTCCAATATGGTTTATGTAACTGAATCATTATTTGTTGATGACTTAGCAAATCTTGACTTGAGCAACGTTGATGCAAATGACTGGATACTGGTTAATGTCAATAAGTTGGCTTTCTATCGTGTAAATTACGATGACGAGAACTGGAAGAGACTATCAGAACAATTAAAGGACAATCACGAGGTACACTGTTCGTTTAAAAAATGCCCATAATATCGAATATCAACATGTTTACACATTTGGCAACATTGTGACTTCTAAAAACTATATATATATGTTTCTCTAGGTGATAAACCCAAGTTCAAGAGCATCCATAATGGATGATGCGTTCAAGATATCCCAGCCTGGTCACACAGATCACGTCAACGCCCTCCGATTAACAGAATACATGGACAAAGAAGTTGAATACGTAGCATGGGACATAGTTATTGGAAACATTGACTTCACACATAACGCACTACTGCGGACGGCAGAGTTTGGACTTTTTGAGGTAGGACAATTCTATTGTCAATAATATGACCATGTTTAATCATACATGACATGGGGCCCCACGTTATCCGTTTTATACAAATTGTGAAGTTCATATATTTGAACGTAATATGTCAGTTTTATACACCACTCTCAGCAATGCCGTTAAAGTGTTCATTCATATTTTAATTGATTCTGTTTAGTTGTACTGGCGTACTCAAATCACACCACTTTATGAGACACTGGGATGGGATTTTTTACTTGGTGATCATCTTGACTAGTGAGTACAATTGTAACATTTATTTTTATTATCTACAACATCTTACTGCACTTTGTATGCCACCTCTAACCATACTTGTATGTAATGCAATCCAGGTAGATGTTGTTTGATTTAGCCATGCCAGTGCCATGCACATTAACCATACATATATACACATAGCACATAGCATGACATGCAGCACAGGGTATCCTATAGTCATAACTATGTGTTCCTTACAAGTACGAATACGAGGCGCGGAATGTAAATTTATTATTTTGTGTATACTAGAAGAAAACGTGCTAATAATTCAAAATTACGTACGTATTGGAGGCCGTGGCGTGTGTGTTTTAAAATGATGTGTGCATTTTAAAAAAACGGCGTGACTGTGCGTTTTAATGGTATGTGCTTTAAAAAATCATGTGTGTATATTAAATGGCGTGGGTGTTTTAAAAAACGTGTTTTTTTTTTTTTATAAATGATGTGTGAATTAAAAATGATGCGTGTCTTAAAATGACGTGTGTGTTTTACAATTATGTGTATTTAAAAAAAAACGTGTGTGTTTAAAAGGACATGTGTATTTTAAAAATAATGTGCGTTTAAAAACATAACGTGTGTGTAAAAACGATGCGTGTGTTTAAAAACGACGTTTGTGTTTTTAAAAATGATGCGTGTGTTTAAAAACGACGTGCGTGTTTTTAAAAATGGCGTGTGTTTAAACGACGTGCG